TCATCCCATCCACACAGTCGGGCCCACCCTGTCCACATGATACCGGCCAGCCCGTATGGCATCACCCATGTCACATGATGTCCCCCGAACAGCATAGTACCGCCTGGCCATGCCAAGGGCTGAGTTGTGCCTAACTTGAACCATGTTGTCATTCCTGCCGTGCAATGCAACTGCGGAAAAAAATGACAGCCCAGTTCCCTTGTGTGCATGGGGCGAGAGAGAGAGTCACAAGCGTTTTGCCCGCGGCTATCGGCTGCAGCCATGGGACTCAGCGCGCCGCATAACTTAGTCATAATAAAGGGGGAAGCCCCTAACATTGTTGCATCCATCCGATTCCAGAAGGATTCAAGGCTTTCAGGCTCATGACCTGTTGATCAATAGTTAAAACTTAAAACACAGAGCCAACTACGGCCGCATCAAGTTTGAGTTCCGATTAGACAAAAAGAAACACACACCTGCATGGCAGTCACGCGCCTGCTTTTAAAAGGCAATAAAACAGGCGCAGTTACCGCGATAGTTTGTATCAAGCGCTGTTGTGGTACAGGGCAAGGGCGGGCCGGCGTTTTCACAGATCTCTATGCGGTGCCGACCCCGAAACTTGCGGCAGCATGCAAGGTGCATCGGAGCAAAATGGCTGGGAAACGTGCTGGTGGTTTAATCATTACTCCACTCCCAAAGACCAATGAAATCGGGCCAGAGTCCTGTCACATTATTCCAATTGCGCTCCCATTCCCACTCGGCTGGATCGAAGGGAAGGGACACTCGAAAAAATAGAGATCCTCTTCATCCTCCCTCCGTCTCCGAAGCTCACATCAGCCAGGACAGGGGAAGCTAACCATCTTACGCTGTTAATTAGGTAGCCGTTGCAACAACATCACCCTAGGTTGTGCCGGCCCGAATGCCTGAATGAATGCCTATGATCCGCTCACCATAGTTAGTGACATTGTAAACGACCATTGGTATGGGGAGCGTATGGTAGGGCACAACAACTTAATCTCCTTTAGTTACACTGGGGCCCTATCCAAGATCTGCCTGTGATGCTAGTGGGATTGCTTCTTCACTTACACCGCCAGTACCCGCCCCAGGCAGCGTGAGAATCGAAAGTGACTCAATCCAAACATTTTAGATGAACAGTGCTACCAGACCAAAATGGCTGGCAAAGCCAGCCAAAAAAGGAAAAAACTGTGCGGCTGGCGGTTCGTTTTTCTTTGACTTGCAGTGCAAATCCACATCGGGAAAGAGGCCCGGAGGTACTGGTGGTTTAAGTTCCGTTTAACGCTTCTGGGGCTTCTTCCCTATCTGTTCTTTAAACATCTTTACAGTTCTTTTCCTTCTGCGCTTCAATATGGGTGCGAGTTGCTGGTCTGATTTCCATGTATTATTCTGAAAGTCGCACAGATCTGCCACTGTATATATTATTATATTCCTCTTGCTACCCACAACACGCATGGCGATCCTTGAGCAAGTGAGAAGGTTTGGTCTTGCTCATCTTGAATAGATAGGTTCCGAAAGAGGGACCGCCTACGAATTCCATGCCATCAAAGGGGTGGGAATTTCTTGTTAGGACCCATAATCCTCCTCAAACAAATCCGTAGTCGTCTACAACCTATCCCACTGGAGGTCCTTCTTGACCCCAGTACCATAGCTGTCCAATCCATGATGCTTGGGAAAATGTGGGAGAGCTACTGTCTTCCCCCGGATAGAACTCACTGTCATTATCGCTGCACCTAGACTGAAACTTGCCCAGAAAAATACAGTTATTATGACCGTATGCTCTATTCGGGGGAAGACAGTCGTACACCCTTGCTATGGGTAGACTGAACGATTAGATGGGGATGGTCGTACGTGAAGCCCAGTGGTATTTTTTTACGCTTAAACTGTCAGTATACGGCCGCAGCCTTGCAAGGTTTCTTCATCACCTACTCCTAAAATTTGAGAGGCTCCGGGCTACTGGACCACAACGGCTGGCGGCGTCAGCCAAAAGAGTTAAAAAGTGGGCCTCTGGCGGTGGTTTGGCAAAGCTTGGCATGCAGTGTGGCACCGCCGGGTGCCGGTGTACTGGTGGTTTACACCACACACCACCAGGACATGGCCCCAGCCAACTTGAGGGCAACAATTGATCACTCTGAAAAATTTTCAGAGGCTCGGGGAAACCGGACCAAAATGGCTGCGCCGCCATTTTCAGAACTAGAGCAGAAATGCCGCACTGGCATTTCGGGAAAACTTGGCCCCCAGTGGGAATCCCCCTCCATACAAACGAGACTTGGATGCACTGGTGGTTTAAGATACTGGCCAAACCGAATCACCTCTTTGGTGGGCTCCTATGCATGCCAGAAAAAAGTGGCAGTGGTCTTTTTCGACACTTTCACAAGTCCGCCAGACCAGATCAGTTTGGTGGGCTCATAAATGGGCCAGAAAGATGTGACAGTGGGCCTAGCCAGATAAGTGTAATGGGCTCGTAAGTCATCCCATAAGTGGGCCTCCTGCACTTTCACAGATGCTCGAGCTATGTGGAACAAGTTTTGGTACTCGTTAGCGAAACCAGGGTTACGTAGGAGGGCCTCCTTTTTCCCAAGGTGGTGACCATGGTAGAGGCCCAGACTTCCCCCTCTCAGACTGTGAGAGCTATGTATGGTACCAGGCCTCATTAAGCTTGCCAGGTCATGTCTGGATGTTAAACAACCATCACATAGCAGGGCCTCCTTTTTCCCAAGTGATGACCATGCATAGTAGTCCTGGACTTTCCGCTCTCAGACCGACAGAGATCGGTTTAGTACCAGGCCTCATTAAGCTCAGCAGGTGGCAGTGATTGAAGCAAATAAAAGCAGACATCACCATCTCTCATGACATGGATTCCACGACTGCCACGCATGGAAAACTACCGTCTTTCCCCCCGAACACAACGCAGCGTTATGTCGTCAATTGATTCACGATCCAAAACCACATTCAAACGTTCCCATACACATCTGCAATGGCAGGCAGACTGGAGAGAGCAGATTCACACCAAAACCAGGGAGAGATACTGCACAGAGGAAGCCAAAGCCAAATGTGGAACAGAGAGAAAATGTTTATCGATCAATTACTGTTCTCCCTGCTCTCCACCATCACAATCGAGTACGACGTCCCACCCAAGAATCTCAACCACGAGTCAAGTTTTCCCACCCACTTCAGCAAAAATTCAGAGAGACTTCGCCTCCCTCCTCCGACCTCCAAACTTCAGGTAGGGCGCACAACTACTGCACCGCCCCATCCCCGTATATCTGCAAGTTGCAAGCACTGGTCTGGCATATGCCAGATCCCAATCAACAACGCCTGTAATCCCCCGTGAAGAAGAAGATATGAACTTCGATGAAGAAGGAGATGGCAGCCTTCGATATGGCAGCATACCACCAGCAAGCTGCTCGATTAAGAAGTGGCGTCCTCAACTCCACAAAGCAGCAGCGCGGTGGTATTGGCTCCCAGCGCCTCGAAGGACCTCCAACAGGCGCTGGGTCTACAAGCAACAGGGCGCCCCAGCTACGGCTGCCCAAGTCAGCACGAAGAAAAGGAAAGCTGGGCGCTAATTTTAGAGCCCATCTCCAATCAAGACCGCTCGCGACCCGACATCCAAAAAGCGAACTGAAAAGAACCCGACCGATTGAGCCTACGGCTCGGCCTGTCTGAATCTAGACCAACTACGGACTCACTAGACCTACGACCACCCAAAAACGAACAGCCTACGGCCTGGTCAGACTGACAATGGACCCAAGGGGGACCTAACCCATGACCAAGTAAAAGCAGGGCCTGCGGGCCTGTTGGTTTCAGCAGAAGAGAACCTGGTAGCCTAGAACTACCGACGAAAGAGAAGTCCCAGCAAGGGACAGGTCACGGGATCAAGCCCCGGAGCACTCAAACTACCAAAAACGCCCTAACAAAAGTACACCTGACAGAGGCAAAACTGCAATTCATTGCAGCATCGTGATCATGAATGTATATACAAGCTATAAGTCTTCCCGTCCCATACAGACACAGCAAGGGTGTGTTGTGTTTGGGGGAAGACAGTAGTTCCGGCCCTGCCACTACAATGGATCCAGAAGATAGGAATTCCAAGATTGCAGTGGATGGAAAACTAGAGTCTTCCCAAAAGACAAAGCACCCTTATCGTGAATGTATACAAGCTATATTTCCTGTCCAATCCAATTACGATGGGGGTGCATTGCTTTTGGGGGGGCGAAGGTAATCCCCACTCGTCCTGCTACGGGCCCGACAGCGATCCTGGAAACACAATCAGGACCACTTCTTAGTGCAGAAATGATGATTGTAGGGCACAAGTGGAATCAATTTTTTACAGCGAATGGCATTCATGTTCGAGGAACCATCCCAAGGTTGGTTGTCTTTTTCTTCTTTCTTCTTCTTTTTCAAGCGGTAGCCCCTAACATAATTGACTTGAACTCTGTATCTGTTTCTCCGCGTTTATATGTGTGACGTTGTGTGTACCGTTCAACCACTACCGTCCTCACCTGAATAGAACGCCCGGTCATTATGGCTGCACCTGGACTGAAAGTTGGCTCAAATACCGCTATAATGACCAGGCATTATATTCGGGTGAAGACGGTAGGCATGTACAGCAGACTGATGCAAGTGTGTGATGCTGGAGGAGATCATCTTCTATGTCTGCCTGCTGGGGCACGACAACCTCTGTCCCTAGAGTTTACATTGAGGTGCCCATAGTCGCTCAATCATTGGGAAAGCGCCATGAAGTATTTGGTGAGAAGGAAAAAAGGGTGTCATGCATAATAACAAGGGTGATTAGAGAAAAAGACAGGACACTAGTACCCACCTTCACCCCGCCAACCCTCTCTCTCTCTCTCTCTCTCTCTCTCTCTCTCTCTCTCTCTCTCTCTCTCTCTCTCTCTCTCTCTCTCTCTCCCCCTCCCTCCCTCYCTCTCTCTCCCTCTGCTCACCACCTGTCACCGTCTATCTGACGTACAATCCCACAGGTTTTCAGCAACGATCCTCACCTCGGTGACCTTTACAATTCTGAAGAGTGTCTGCACCAGAGCTACTACCTCGCCCCGCTCCCTTGGCTCCAACGGCCGCATCGTTTCCATCCCTTGCAGTCGTTGCACCCCCCTTCATCTCTCTTTCCCTCCGTGACCCAGATTGCGGAGTGGGCTCATCTTGTTCAAGAGCTGCGGCTCCATGCTGACCAAACTCATGTTCTGCAGATGCCTTGCAAATTGCCCATGCGGTTATCAATGGCCTGCTGGAGTCGGCTCTGCCAGCAGCAGGAGGGGGTGGAATCGCATGTGAGGTAAGATTTGGAACCCTTCTTCCCCCAACGCGCATCTTCAACCACTCTGTGGATCTCCGACTGATAAAAATGGTTTGACCTCCCACACCTGGCTGGTCATCTGGTACACTTGCATCAACAGCCCTCTCTCCCGCTTGGCTTGCGCTCCCATCTACACACTGCAAGGCAGCAGCATCCTCATCAGGCAGTGCAGTGGGAATTGGAGATACCTGCGCATTGCGCATGTTGCACTCCTCAGCTGATGGCCAAGGACCCACCTTCTGTCTTTTTGCAGGTCTCGAGCATCCCTCATCCCCGCTAATTGCCATTGACCCGGAGCTTTGGATATCGTGCTCCTGCCCTGGAGGGTTGACATCCGCACTCTCTGAAGACAGCAGCTGAAGGCTCTTTTGAATTGCTGCTCTATTCACGGCCTGACACTCTGCCAAGTACTGTCTTAACCGAATGTGCAAGGCAACTAGACTGCAGAGAACCCGCAAGGTGAACAGCGACAAACACTGTCTATATGAGTAACAGCATGATGCACCAACCACAAATTATTACTATACTATAATTCATTATTATTATTGTCAGGGTAACCGGCGTTCGGGACGGGCCGAACGCCCGAACCCGAACGCCCGAACGTATGGGACCCCTTGGGGATGCGTTCGGCCGTTCGGGCCGAACGCGGACCCAAAAAAAAAAAAAAAAAAAAAAAAGAGTTCATCAAAAAAATCTGAAAACAAGATATGTTATGGAGAAAAATAAATTAAACAAGATTTGCCTGAGCATTACATCCGAATTCCTTACCAAATTTGAAATAAAAATAAAATACGGAAAACAAATACTAATAATAAAAATAAATAAAAATAAAAAGAGAATTAAATTTAGTGATTGCTCACCATCTTTGGAGATTTTTCATTTTTTTTTGGCATAGCTAAATGCCCTGAAAATTTACAGATGTGCACTTCACATAATACAAAACCCACTAAAAAAGTTTCAAAAAATAATAAAATTGTTTAGATCCCGAACTAAAGTGAAAACAAAAAGTAAAAAGTGAAAAAATACGTGGGCGAGCACGTTTTGACACCACCATCTTTGGCGATTTTTAATTCTTATTTGGCTTAGCCAAATGACTTAAAATTTTACAGGCATGTACCTCACCTCATACACAACTCACGAAAAAACATTCAGAAAAAAATAATTATTTTTAGGCCCCGAAATCATTTTTGGCGGGGGCCGAACGCCGTCGGGTTCGGACCCCGTACGGGACCCCGAATGCAAGTACGTACGGAGGTCTGCCTGGGGACCTCCGTACGTACGGGCTGGTGACCCTGATTATTGTTGTTATTATATTATTATTATTATTATTATTATTGTTGGGGTTTAAAACTCGTTACTATTATTATAAATTTATAATATATTAGAATCTAGGCTACCAGAGTGGCCCGGGGTCACCTGCCTGGCCGGGCCGAAAACAATTAAAAAAATAAAAATAAAAGAAATATTTTTAAATTTTATTTTTTTTCTACATTTGGTGCAGAATTTCGATGCGACCCTGAGGCAAAAGTTGTTCAGTTTATTTTTCTGCATAACATAGTTTTTTTTCGGATTTTTTGGTTTTTTTTTTTTTTTTTTTTTTTTTGCTGGGACCTTCCCTGGTCCTTGCACGGGCTGGCCACCGGGACCCGGGCGGCCCGGCTGGTAGCCTATATTAGAATATATTATTATTTATTATTATTATTTTATTACTATTATTATTATTTAATTATTATTATTATTATTATTATTTTATTACTGTTATTATTATTTAATTATTATTATTATCATTATTATTTTATATTATTATTATTATTATTATTATTATTATTATTATTATTATTGTTGTTGTTGTTGGGGTTTAAACCTCGTTACTATTATTCTAATAATAATATATCATTTACAACTTTATGTATATTATTACTGTCTGACTACATTTTCTTTGTTGTTGTTCTTGTTGTTCTCCTCCTCCTCCTCCTCCTCCTCTTCCTCCTTCTTAGCCTCATCCTCCACAAGACCCCTTCCAAGATTAATCGTTTTCTATAACCATGGAGTCACAATATAGTAAACAAACGCACCCAAGCATCACAACATTCCAGGCTCATCTGCATCATTATTATGATGCTTAACTCTCAACAAGGCGCAAAGCGAACACAACCCTATTTTTGACAAACAAAGCCTAGTAAAGCTGATGAGGCCAGATCAACCAACTGGCCTAGCTCAGTTGTTACACACCCGAACTGTTGAAGTACAGACCTGAGTTCGAACTCCACTGGAAGCAGATGAGTAAAATACTTACTACGGTAATTCTGAATTACCTATGACCGGTCCGCGCAATGATCGTATCTTTAGAAACAGGGGGAAAAAAAAAGGAAGCGAAAAAAAAAAAAAATCTGAAGCCAGATCCTCATTTTGCTTGTCTGTGATAAGTAACCGGACTGTTGCCCCGCAGAAGGGGCCTTCCCGTTTAAAAAAAAAAGAAAAAAAGCTGAAGCCAGATCAAGTTTCAAAACTTTCAATCATTTTTTTTGCGTAGAAAAAATATCAAACAACAAATGAATCTCTTGCACGCTTTATCAACTTGCTTGATGACTATGTTCACAGATATTCCCAGGAGCACCAATTTCAGGACCACACCGGCTACTTCATGATGATGTCAGTTGCATGATCTTCCAATTTGGTGGCAAAGCTAAACTCACATGTCGCGCTCGGGTCTCCAGACTCCGACACTCGGCAACACAATGGTTTCTGACACATGCAATGGGATTCTCGATAGCTGTCCGTTGTTTGGACCTTGCGCTTCAGTGGTCATTACAGCATTGCTGGCCTACTTTACGTTGGCCATACAAAGAGTGACGATCATACCGACAACTACTGAGATACACTACCGTCTTCACCCCGAGCAGGATGCCCGGTCATTATAGGTGTATTAAACTGTATTTAGACTGAAAGTGTTGCCAAATACAGTTATTACTAACTTATTAGTTATCACAACCGGGCATTCTATTCCGGCATAGACGGAAGTTTGCGCTCCGCCTCTTCCACCACCTCTATTATCTCCAGTGCACTCATGACTGCCGTTCCATTGGCATGTATTGCAGCAACCACTCCACGAGACGCCATGCAGGAAGGCTCTCCATGTTGTTTTTTTTGCCTCTTGTTGTTGCCCTCCATCTCACCTCGCCGCTGTGATCTTCCGCTGTCTACCGTCCCTGCTGTATGACACCTTAGGTTGTGGCCATTGAAACACTTGGTGCCTGCAATACACATGGGGCCACTTGTGAACAGCCGCTGGGACCTTCCACTGTCGGCGGCCCCGGCTGTAGGATCTACCCCTTTGTTTGTGGCCATTGAAATACACGGAGCCTCCAGTGCACAGGTTGTGCCCATTTGAAACACACGGGGCGTCCAGTACACATACGATCACTTAGGCTGGGTACCGGCGAGCCTGTGACTACACAACAGATAGAGAAAAGAACGAGCCTTCGACGTTGATCTCATAGCTTCACATATACTCCGTTGTGAGGTTGTCCGTCCATAGTCAGGGTCTCGTGCTGCAGAGGTTGCTGTTAAACCCTGTGTTCAAAGTCAAGGACTTTCACAAAAAAAGAAACATGAGAAAAAGAAATATGGGGGGTATACAAGCAACAGCCACAACCTTACTCTAAACACTGTGTGTCAAAGTCAAGGACCTCCGTGAATGAGGCTCTTCAGTTATGTATGATTCTTCGGAAGCCCCTACAAGAGGGGTGTTGGAGGGAAGCTGGGGGGGGG